AGATGGAGAGCGCCAGCCAGGGTAGGAGGAGAAGGAGAAGGCCGGAGGGAGAGGGCCTGGGCCTGGCTGGGCCTGAGGGGAGGCTTGGGTCAGCAGTGGGACTCCCTCCTGGCCTACCAACAAAACAACTCCCTGCAGGTAGAAAGGCAGCAGGCCAGGGAGAGGGAGCCTCCCAGCGCCACTCCTTGAGAGGCTAGGTTTCTACTTGAGGAGATTTTTAAAAATGGCTTACTGGCAGGTGACGCCAAACTGGGAGGGTAATCCTGAAGAGAGCCAGCGTGGCTTAGTGGTTTGGGTTTTGGACTGCGAGTTGTTATTAAAGACCTTGGCGAACTGAAATTCCCAGGATTCCATACGCAGGAGCTTTAAGCACCCTTGCCAGTGCATGCAGGACTAAGCAGCCGATGTAAAATATTGGTGACTCTTTTTAAAAGTGCTCTGCCTCACCAGTAAACAGTTGCTTTATTTAGCTATTCTAGAGAGAGAGGGAGTATGTGGAGTTGCCTAGACACAGACACACACACTCATATATGTAATATGTTTTTATATATATCCACCACATACATACATATGTGTGTGTGTATGGTGTATATATGCTTATTATTATTTATACACACACATATATAGAATCATAGAAACATATATATATATATATATATATATATAAACACACACACACACACACACACACAGTTGTCCTTCTGTTTTCATGGACTTGAAGTTCACGACCCTCGCTTATTCACAAGGGACAAACGGGGGGGGGGGGGGGCACACGGCGCGCACCCACTTGCCCCTGCAGACATGTGCCTCCATTCAAGCCAATAGGACTTGAATATTTGCATTTTTCCTTTTTCTTGGGGGGTGTCGGAATGGCTCCTCCACAAAATAGGAGTGGTGGCTGTATATACACTCTCACGCACACGCACACACGTCCCTCCACATTTGCGGCTTTGACTTTTGCAGGTTTGATTATTCATAGATTTTATTAAAAGGTTTTCTCTAGGAATATCTCGCACAACTCTATGGTCAACTTCAACCAAAAGTCTCACTGAAGGACCTAGAGTTTCCTATAGAGGACACTCCACTAGGCATTTGTAGCTCCTTCAGCGCAATTAGTGTCAATGTCTGGCAGATGTTGACCACAAAGTTGCACTGAGGATTTAGAGATTCCTAGAGAAGTGTTCTCTTAGGTAAAAACATGATTTACTGGCAGGTTATTCGCCGTTTTCCCACATTCACAGGGATCCTATGCTCCTGACCTCAGTGAATGTGCAGGGATGAGTGTACTCCTGAAGAGAGCCAGCATGGCATAGTGGCTTCAGCTTTGGACTATTAGGCTCTGGAGCACAGAGTTGTTGTTGTTGTTGTTATTTATTTATACTCAAGTTTATTTACATTAGCCAATCAGGCTTTTGCATACAACCATAAAACAATCTAATATCATATTAAAGCATAGATAAAATAGGGCAATTAAATTGGGAATAAAACATACAAAATAAAACTAAGATTATGTCTTGTCACTAGACAATTTAAAAGTTTCTCTTTTTCTCAGAGCTAACTTGATGTACTTACTGTACAATAGGACACATAGTAATCAGTTCCTGCCAATAAAAATAACATTTTTTGAGGGAACAGCATCTCTTATATGTACAACAAGAGGCCCAAGGTATTGGGCTCTCGAGTCCAAATACAAAGAATGTTCCAGAAGAAAAGGATACAAATCTTGTGTCTTTCTGCAGCCACATGGACACTGTCTATTAGAGTTCAGGAAGCCTTCATAGCACCATTTAACTTCCATTAGGTGCAAACTATTTAATCTGCACTTATTTAAAAGGGACTTAAGGTTGTATGGACAAGCAAAGGCTAAATAAGGTGACAATTTATTGGGATAAATGGCATGGTGGCTTGAGTTTTGGACTATGGGGATCTGGAAAGCAGAGTTGTTGTTACTATTATTATTTACTTATATTCCGCCTTTCTTCCAATATAGGGACTTGAGGTGGCAAACAGCAAATTTAGAACCATACAATTTAAAAACATACAATTTAGAACCAAACAATTTAAAAACAGCATCTAAGCATTTTAAAACAACAACAACAACAATTGAACATTTCTGAAAGTTATGAATTAAAATGTAATGTGTTAAAAAATATATATAAACCTTAAAATGTAAACTGACATTGTGGTTTGAACTTTGGACTCTGGAGAGTAGAGTCATTATTATTATTATTATCGTTATTGTTATTACTTTTTTGTGGATTTTTTGGGGCTCTATGGCCATGTTCTGGAAGGGTTTATTCCTGACTTTTTGCCTGCATCTGTGGCTGTCATTTTCAGAGAATGTTATAATAATAATAATAATACGATTTATTTATATACCGCCCCTCTGGCAAGCCAATCTAGGCGGTGAACAACAATAATATATTACAACAAATTAAACAATATCATTCCCTCCTCCCCGAACATCAAACAAATAACAACATTAAGATCCCGTCCCTCATTCCTACCCCCCACTCCCAAAACAAATCAACAAACAAATTAAAAAAACAAATATTAAAAAATACAGTACATTATGAAAATACAATGTGCAAATAAGGATACATAATTG